CCGCCGACGGGTTGCCTCCAGCTTCTGCTGCCGGGACTCGGAACCGCCGAGAACTTCAAACGCGCTACCTTCGACAGAGTCCCCGTTGTGCACAGTTATACCAATCACAGTTTTCATGATGGCGCTGTTTAGCTTGGCCCATTTGACCACAGCTGTCTGCTTAGGCTTCTCGCCAGGCTTAAGGCCAAGGTTCACTGCTTGCTGTCGAGATGAAGACAGCGCACCGAAAGCGCGGCAACCTTGTGCCAGGACGTCGGGCTCTCTATCTGCAGACTGCTCCATGGCGTTGTAAATCACTTCTGCTGTCTCGGGTAGACCCTTTTGGAAGTCCTCTCGCACAGAGTCCTCGCTCCCACAGTTGGCCAGGGCTGCCAGCAGCTCCCTTGTTGTGGCTGGTTTGCTGGCGTAAGCAATGAGGCTGCTGAGAAGGATGGGTCCAACTCGTGCTCGAGCAGCATGGGCGCAGGAAGCAGGTGTGCCGTAAGTCATGCAGCGAAGCGCGATGCCTGCCGCAGTCACCATGTCCACATTCTTGGAATGCTCAAACAAAGCCCTCAATGGCACCGCCACACCAGCTGCTCGGCCAAACGCTGTCCGCCAGCGCTCCCCTGATATTCCGCCAGGGTTTTGGCCATGCCCATCGCTGCACAGGCACGTGATGATGACGAGCAACATTCCGATGGAGTGAGAGTCTTTGTGGCGAACCTCCCCAAGTCGAACCAAATCACCAGCCACAAGTGCCAGCCGGTCTGCTGCAGTACCTACTCCGCTCCATAAATCTCTGAGTTTCTGAGCGAGCACGTAAACAGCTTCCAGGGATGCCACCACAACCTCAGCATCTCGCGGCAAAGATGCGCCAGCAGAAAGTGCAGCTATGCCGACCTCTGCGGAAACCAGCCCAGGCTCTCGAAGCACAGTCCTCCCAATTATGCGGCAGAGAGATAATGCCACAGAACGACTATGAGGGAACCGCTGGTGTGCCAAGCTAATGGAGCGCAACAAGCCATCTCGAACAAGAGCCTTTAGGCTCACACTTGTGACTTCCATAGCGCTTTCAAGGGCCTTTGCCCCTGCTCCCTGGATTTTGCGGTCCTTGGCGTAAACATCCATCGTTGTAGTAATATCCCGGAAGGCGATAGGTACCAAACCGTCGCTTTCGGACTCAGGTTCAATTGCATCAGTTGGAGAAGGTTCCTTGACCAGGATACTGCCTCCCAAACCTCCCTTGGCGGCTGCATTGTAAGTAGCGCTCAAGGCCAGGAGAGCCCGGGGAACCAGTCGAGGCTCAGCTTTGAAGCAACGGAGCGCAAACCTTGCTGCCTCGGTCTGCGCTCGCAAGTTCTTTGTGGACGCAGCCAGGACGATGATCTGCAGGCCATGCTCCATGGTTAGAGGATACACCTCCGGTTCTTTCATCAAAGCCAGGGCAAACTCAACATGCGTGATGGTAAGCCGTCTGACATTGTCGGGTGTAATAGCCAGGGCAATGCTTGCAAGCAAACGTGTGGGCAGCTCGGGCGTGGCACTTCTCAGGGCCCTATCCTCCAAGTGAATCGTCATGAGGTCTGTGACCGAATCGAATACGGGTCGAGCGAGACTGTCGGCTCGGTGGGCGTCTTCATTGCGAAGCAAGGACATCAGCGCCTCAAGTGACCACAAGTGAATATGCGCACAGAGCGGAAAAAAGTGGAGGATGTCGGTGATGATGCCAACATGTCTCCATGCATCTTCTGTCGCAGCCACCTTCTCGGCATGCAGCGCCACTGCAACAACGTATTCGAGTGCAAGCTTTGCAGTGTCTGGCACGCCAAGAAGCCCATCCTGACGCTTCTGTAGCAGAACGTTGCACACGAAATCTACGGCTTGCAAACCCTGGCCACGGATATCCTCAAGTTTTGGGACTTCCAGTGGGGGGTTTCGAGTCATGCACGCCCCGGCCATGAAACGAGCGCTTGGGTCAACTGGGGCTTTTGCCTTGGGCTGCCGATCTGTAATGCCGGCGCCGGTCAGCAAAGTACCGAAGATGCCTTCGTCCTCGTACTCTTCTTCTTCCTCCTCCTCACCATCCGTTTCAGCCTCTTCTTCTGGTTCTTGCCTTGGCGATGCTTCCAGCTCCCTGTCGGAGTCACCAAAAAAATCCATGGCAGCTCCCCGCTGCCGTTCTTCACCAGCAAAGGCTGCAAAGGCAGGCTTAGTGTAGCCTAGCAGGTCATCATCTTCTTCTGCAGTATCAGGTTCAGGAGACCGTGGCTGTTGTTCAAAGCCAGCGAAGGCGGCAATGGGAGGCCGCCAAGCATGGGTTTGCTGTGCCGCCAACGGTCTACCTCGTGCGTCAACTGCCTCCCACACTGGATCATCGACCTCATCTGAGTCCTGGTGATAAAGGCCAGGATCTCCGCGCGTCTGGAAGCCTTGATCTGATTGGTATCCAGCAAAGAAGCCACCCTGTGAGACAGGCGGTCGTGATGAACCAGGTGCCTCACTTCGGGCTACTGGGCTTCGCTCACTTCGGTCTCGGATAGACTTGGAGGGCGAGTCCAGGTCTCCAATGGCCAGTGCTTCTGCAGGAGACGGCCAACCCAGCTCTGCAGCTTGATAAGCCACACGGTTGTGGTATTCACGTGAGGCAGGGAGCTCGAGCCGATATCGTGACGTGGGACCTGCTCCTTCAGGTGCAAGCTCTGGCATCATGTGGCGCATGGCCGGATACCGGTTTGACGTCACTCGGGAAGCCGCGATGATCTCATCTTCACCAGCAGGGTACTCAATAGGATCACCCTCCAAATTGAAGTCGTCAATTTCATCCGGCTGTAATATCTTCTCCCGCCGCGCCCAGAAAGCCCGCTCCTTTTCCAGCTCTAGCTCCAACCTTGCTTCGTCCGCAAGTCTTTGCTGCTCATGAATGAGGCGCTGTTGTCTAACCAGCTCATCCTGCAACTCTGGCTCGCTTGCAGAGAGCTGCTTTACCTCTGCCAGATTATGTGCCTCGTCCATTTTTCTCTCTAGCTCCCGCACTTCATTCAGCATCCGCGAACCTGTCGTTCTCAGATGGTTGAGGGTCATGTCCATCCCGTCTTTTGCAAGCATGACCTCTTCTTTGGTCATCCGCGTGTGGACAGACGGGCCTTCCTCCCGGACAATTTCTTTGACGGCTTCAAAAGCCCAGTCGCCATCTGTGAAGTCCTTTGTAGGTTCTGGGGGTGGCTTCGCTCGAGGTGAAAGTATGCCCGGCACGCCGCAGTAAGGAAATGGTAAGCCTGCTGCTGGTGGGAATTCCGGCGGTGTCACATCAGGTGCTGATTCTGGCGGCTCCTGCTGCACCGGGGCATGGTCGCCAGCGCACGGGACTTGCTGCAGAATGCGCTTGGTGCTCTCTGCACGCTCCATTTGCTCCTTCACGGCTGCATATCTTGCTTGCAAGTTCTTGAACTGCGCCAGCTTGGCCAAAGGATCCCACTGATCAGCGGCCTTCAAGGCAGTTGAGTTGCCAAAGGCTTGCGCAACAGCAGACGAAACGCTTCTGGCTGGAGCTCTTGAGCTTGCAACAGCAGCCACATGGGCCAAAGGGAACTCTGACTTGAGGCTGGAGGCTTCATCTTGCAGTTGTGCAAGGAGCTCATCAATCTTGTACTGCGGCAGCTCAAGTTCGATCTCTACGTCCCGGGGCTCATCATCGGAGTCGCTCTCCGTTGCGGTAGCTTGTAGAACTGGCCCAGGTAGTGCTGGTGTTGCTGCTGTTGGCCTCGGCTCTGCCATCACTGCATACTTGAAATGCAGCTCCTCATTTTCTGCCTCTGTCCTCACATTGCTACTTCCTGCCTGCTGTGCTGGTCGCAGCAGGCGCGAGGGGATTTGAGCAAGAGGTCAGCTTCAATGAATGCAGAATGCATGGGCAATATCTCCACAAACACTGCTTGTGGTAACTCAGCCCAGGAGTCCGAACACCCAAAAGCCTCAACCCTCGTTGTGGTACGTTGTGGCGCTCCCTTCTTGCAACTTCCACATGTCCAGTTGAAAGCTGGTAAGGGGATCTACCCGACCAAGCAAGACAACCAAAGCGTGGCCTGAAAGCCAGCAAACCTACAAGCCTACCTACTCACATGCATGAGCGGTTGAAAGCTGTCCACCACATGCAAGGTGGCACCGAAACGCCCCGGAGCGGCACTCGCACCAATACCTGCAACAGTGCTCAGCAAAGGCTCACAACCAAACATGCTCGTGGCGTGCTGTGTCGTGCTAGTGCACTGGTGCACACCCTAGATCTGCTGAAGTGCTGGTATCCAGCGTTGCGGGATTAGTATCGTTGCAGGACCTCGAAGGGCATTTCCTCCATCTTCTCCCTGCCAAGGGTGTCAAGCCTGGTCACTCATCGAATGGTTTCAAGCACCCTGAGTCTCTGCCCTCTGATCCAGGGAAACAAAATATAAAATCATCGATGGGAACTACTCGCATGCTTCTTCAGAAAAGGGCACTGCATTATACTGCTTGGCTACGCTGTTTATGCTGCGCAAGCGGACGGTTCTTCAGTACTTACCTTCTTGCTGGTAAATTTTGTGAAATTGACGTGTTCTCCGTTCAAGTCTGAGTCTGCCGCAATGGCTGCATGACGGGTTCTTCAAGCTGCCTGAGCAAGACAGGGCCAGTGGGCTTCAAGAATCCAAAGGCGCCGAGTTGCCTGCTGCTGTTTTCAAAACAAACACAACAACATCGCCTTACTCAAGATTTACAATTGATGTCGTCGACCTTCTGAACTGCAATGCCACCATAACAAGTGAACACACATTCCAAGGGCCTCCAAAGGACCAGAAGACGGTCCAGCAGTCTTCTGTACAACGAGCCGTCCTGCAGGTGCATTGTTTTGCCATGTTGAGGCCTGCATGCTATGGCGTAAAGGGCAGCCTTTTCAGCACGTAGGCAGCAGCGCTGGCCAGAAGCCGTTCTATAAGCAACAGAACGTCGTAGTCTAACTCCACAGCGGAAAATCAGCTGGATGGATTCCGCTACGCGGAAGGCTTCACAGCCTGACTGATGAGTTGGAGCAAGTCTACATGGAAAATGATGTTAATTGGAAGCCTGATCACATTGAAGCCAACCTGAAGTAAGGTGCAAGAGCGTGTGCAGCACAAGCTTGCCTTCCCTTCCCTTGTGCTTCAGGTTCCATGCAACGGATGGCTTTGTGTTATGCACATGGTATGGCAAGAGCTTTTTGGTCGCCCAGACACATACAGGAGGATAGGCCATGGTACCTGCACACAGGGATTTTAAAAACTGCCGAGCTCTCATGACATTCTTTGTTTGAATCTGCGGCCGCCCGCCTGCAGCTACTTTGTCTCAGTCCGCTCTGTTACTTTCTCTTTTTGACTACACAGATGTGGCCTGATCTGCACCAGTGGATCGAATGAGAAGGCGTAGCGCTGAGAGATTTGAGGAGGCATTGGATTGGAAGCCCCACGCGGACAAAAGAGCCTGGAGATGGCAGCATGACTATGCGCAACGCCAGGCACAAAGCAAAATGTTCGTCTAAGCTGCGCTTTGGGGAGTGCTCATGGGTTGAAGTGCGATGCTTAGCTTTCCATCACACTTCATCATAACTCTTCTCAGCAAGTAGCCATATCCTCCTCACTCTTGATGCCTTAGAACAAAGCCGGGGTATGGTATGGCTCCAAAAACAGGAAAATGTGCGTCACGTGCTAGGCTTTGCTTGAATCTGAGGTGCTCGTGAAGCAAACGCCAGCAGGTTGCTGCGTTCTGCCGACGCTGCGAGCTTCTCGGCCTTGACCACCCAAAGGGTCCTTGGAAAAGCCCCCATCTCGCATTTCAGCTGCAGCTGTTGTCTGAAGCCATCTTTGGTGGAGTAATGTAACATCAACAAACAACCTATCCACATACTGTTCTTGGAGCTTTCAGCGCTGTTTGAAGTCGACGGCAGGCCTTGTAGCTGCAATCGGGCGACTTTGCCGTCCAGCGTAAAGCACGATCTTTTAGGATTGCGCTTGTTGGTTGGCAGTTCGTGTCAGGGTATCCATGCCCAAACCATAATTCCGTTCGTGTTTCAAGAGCAAATGGTCACCAGGGCATCCATGCCCAAACCACAATTCCGGTCGTGTTCCAAAGAGCATACGGTCACCAGAGCATCCATGCCCAAACCATAATTCCGTTCGTGTTTCAAGAGCATATGGTCACCAGGGCATCCATGCCCAAACCATATTTCCGCTCGTGTTCCAAAGAGCAAACGGTCACCGGAGCATCCATGCAAAAACCATAATTCCGTTCGTGTTCCAAAGAGCAAATGGTCACCAGGGCATCAATGCCCAAACCATAATTCCGTTCGTGTTCCAAAGAGCATAAGGACACCAGGGCATCCATGCCAAAACCATATTCCGTTCGTGTTTCAAGAGCAAATGGTCACCAGGGCATCCGTGCCCAAACCATAATTCCGTTCGTGTTCCAAAGAGCACACGGGCACCAGGGCATCCATGCCCAAACCATAATTCCGTTCGTGTTTCAAGAGCATACGGTCACCAACGCATCCATGCCCAAACCATAATTCCGTTCGTGTTGCGAGAGCATACGATCACCGGAGCATCCATGCCCAAACCATAATTCCGTTCGTGTTCCAAAGAGCATAAGGACACCAGGGCATCCATGCCAAAACCATAATTCCGCTCGTGTTTCAAGAGCAAATGGTCACCAGGGCATCCATGCCCAAACCATAATTCCGTTCGTGTTCCAAAGAGCACACGGGCACCAGGGCATCCATGCCCAAAACATAATTCCGTTCGTGTTTCAAGAGCATATGGTCACCAGGGCATCCATGCCCAAACCATAATTCCGCTCGTGTTCCAAAGAGCAAACGGTCACCGGAGCATCCAAGCAAAAACCATAATTCCGTTCGTGTTTCAAGAGCATATGGTCACCAGGGCATCCATGCCAAACCCTAATTCCGTTCGTGTTCTCAAGAGCAAATGGTCACCAGGGCATCCATGCCCAAACCACAATTCCGGTCGTGTTCCAAAGAGCATACGGTCACCAGAGCATCCATGCCCAAACCATAACCTGTCTGTGTTTCAAGAGCATACGGTCACCAGTGCAAATGATGACCCTCAGACTGATACACCTTGTTCTAGTGGTGCGAAGACCAACAACGATGTCCCTAAAAACTACTTGTAATCATCATACTGTCATAGTCCTGACATCGTTGGTTGTCGCAGTCACAATCACAAGCTTCATTTTGCAATGACGAACTTAAAATCAGCAAAGGAGGCAATAATTCCATCTTTGGTAAATACGTACTTTTTGCACGAAACCATAGCAGGCGTGTACGAAACAGCAAAATCCAATACAAAATATGTCCCTTTTTTTGTGCTGAGACTATTTCTTGCACATTCCTTTAAACATCTTGATGTTGTGCAGCCCCCCAAAACGACGGTAAAATCAGTCCGAAAACCAAATATTTTATCCGCCGAGGCTGGAGGCCTGGGGCGTTTAGATCCAGGGCTGTTGGAAGAGTAAGTTAACCCACCTTCTCCCAGTGCGCACAATTCCGGGGTGGGTCCAGTCAGCTCATTTTTTCGGGCTTCTAGGTGGGTAAGGAAGATCCGGATAAGGGTCGGCCCTGCTCTGTGCTCTCACCCCTCGACAGCCTTTGTCGAGGCGGTCTCGCGTTAGCGGTTTGGCAGAAAATAGCGGACAAAAAACACATCCGTAGGGTTGTAGCTGCAGTAACATGCAGCCACGACGCGCTAGCAGGCCTTGGTGTTGCTAGAACGTTTGGCCCTGACGAGCAGGGCCCCAGGCAGCCTGTCTCCTTGACAGCGGGAAATTTTGTGAAAGCAAAGGAGCACGACCCGTGAACAAACATCTTTTCTGTTTTGCACAGGCCAAGCGCTAATGGGGTAGACCCGGTCATTTTGCACAAGCGTTGTCAAGAATGTGATCGGGCATTTTCCTCCTGAGCGAGGCTAGCTACATGCGTGTTTGCTATCCGCACGGAAACACAAGCACTGATTTCTGGAGCAAATGGGCAGCCAAAGGTTGCAAAGCCAGAAGTCTTGGCCAGACTTGTCAGCGTCAGGCTTTTCAGGCATGATCTGATCACATGTCCTATGCAAAAGGCAACGCATGCAAAACCGATGGTTGGGGGCCCTGGCTACAGTTTGTGCCGCCAGTGCGCTTTGGCATAACGGTAGATGGCCCTCTTTTACTCCCTGCCTTGACCTGCACACCCTCTGGCGCTGCGCTGCGGAGCATTTGCAAACAGCCTTCCACATGCAAGGCATCAAGCTCCGAACACTTTAGCCCGACTGTCAGCAGGATGCTTAGCCGCATTCTACTGCAATCTGCTGAAGTATACACGTTCGGCAAAAGCATTGCAGTTGGGCCTTCTGCTCCGTCAGTTTTGCAGGAGGGCCCCGTGCACACGAATACCACTCCTGCCAACACATCAGCAAACTTCTCCCATGCTCGTAGTTGAATCTTGATGCTTTCTCCATGACCCGATATTGTTATTGTAGGCTGCCACTTGGTACCAAATGTGTCACGGCTCTGTAATCACGTGACTTCCGTTTTGTTGGATGCAGTCTCACTGATACTAGCCTCACAGGCTTTATTGAATTCTTGCTGCTGCTCCGCTCAAACACACATGACACATGAGCTGCTCAGCAGCTTCGTGCCTTCAAATCAGCAGCAGAATAGCTCGTGCTGCGTCATCACCGAGCCCACTATCTCCATGAGAACTCTTGTGAGGTTTGGTTTCCCTTTGTGCTTGACCTTAAAGGTATAACGCCGGTTTTTGGAAATCCGGAAGTACATCAGATCCCAAGTCATCGTGCTGCCCAAGGTGAAGAAGAATCCAATGCGCAACGCGTTCGCACAAAAGAAGTGGAGGACAAGGCACCTCCTTGGCTGGATCCTTTGCCTGCCGCACCCAGTCTCGATTTCCCCCGTGCTGATCTCCTTGGACGTCAACACCAGGCTGCAGCTGAACAAGCCGCAGGGCGCAGCTAGCAGGTAGATGACTATCCCAATGAAGGCTGCAAAGGCAGCTGCCTCCAAGCTGCTCAGGAGCTCTCAGTGAAGGCTGCCATGCTGTAAACGCTATGGATGTAGAGTAAACAGCCAGCAGCACCTCGCACAGATGCGGGATGCACCGAAGCATGATTCATTGAACAGCTGTTGCAGAAGCTGTCGCCAAATCGTTTTCGGCAAATTTGCAGGAGCGGCACAGCGGACAAGACTGAAGCCGCGCGCCGGGCTCTCTGCATGGCTTTGATAGGCTTGGGTCCGCCGCCCTCTGCTCCAAAAGTCTTGGCAGGCTACGGTGCATCTTTTGTTTGGCAAGGTAGGTTGGTTGCATGTTTAGATGGATTTCAACTGTCGGTCTGAGCCACAGCCTGGTTCACACGCATAGGTACAGTACGGAAATGCAAGCGTGAAGAGATGATTTTGCAAGCGACCGAAACAAAAGTCTCGCCAGGAGTTGCTGGATGGTTGACAATTGGAATGTCAATGCATGACTCCTGCCTCTCCTCAGCAATTGAAGCAAACGGCGCTAAGCCTTCAACGGATCCTTTTCATTCACACTTGTACTAAATATACAACCTCAAAGGCAGCACCCTCTCATGCTTTGCATGTTTTGGGGCGCAATTCCTCGTGTACCTTCGACATAAGCTGCTTTGCAGCCACCGCCTAGAAATCTGTGATGGTCTCAGCATGTCAGTCCCAAGTTGTGGTGCAGCTAAGCTACCTGCTTTGGCCTCTGCCGTGCAATGCGGCAACATTCATCCGGGCAACTTTGCAAAGAGTTGGTACCGGCTAGACTCTGACAGATTCCCAGCGGCTTGGTAGCAGGCAATGGCATGCTGAAGGTGCGGGGGCTCTCTAGCTCACTTTCAACATTTAAGGGAACACAATGCGAAATGATGGCTAGATGGTTGGCCTGGCAGCCTTGCCAATGTATGCTACCTGGAACCACCGTATGAACACCAATGCACTACTTGGAGGCTGAAGCATCATCAGCTCCCTCCGTTCGTCGTCCTAGGTTGACCACTTCAACCTCATAGCTCTGGAAATTCAGCCCTTGCGATTCGGTGAAATCTTCATCATCGTTGTAATCGTCCATGCTGTTCTGGATCTCTGTGCGGACTTGTGCGAACCTTTCCTTCCATTACATGTGTCTGCACATCTTCTTCCTGGGATTACGCACGAGGGGCACAAGATCAGCACATTTGCATCTGAGTATCATCCAGCTCATCAGACAGCTCGACGAAGCAGCGCTTCATGAACGAGTTCGTGACCCGAATCTGCTCTTTGCAGTCCTGATGGTAATTTTGCGCTTGACACCTTCTAACTAGATAACTTTGCAGAAATGCATGCGGGCAACTGCTGCAGAGCTTTTGTCAAGACCTAACTGACCCTCGTCCACTTGCCCTGCCTTCACTGTGGCCGGATTCGAACCGCGCATGTTGAGAACCATGTTTACAAGGTCTGTGAACGTGATGCTTCCAGAAGTCTTCGATGAGTCATCCCATACCATGTCCAGCATGTCCGCGAATACCTGAATGGCGAAGGTTTTGAAGGATTCGGTCCAGCTGCATCTACCTGCGTGGACATGCCGAGGCGCATCTACGTTCACGCCTGCATCCTGCATAACACGCACCACGCCAGGCTCCATCACCAGGTTCTGGAAATCTTGCCTCGAGTCTACAGATTTTGACCTCTGGAAGAAGAGATAAGAGGAATGCCAGAAGCATACAACCGACACCCAAATCTACCACTTGGCATCCCTTTTCTGGGCTCCACCAAATCTCCGGTGAGGCACTGGTTTAGCGCCATATCCTGGCCGGCGAGCCGAGCTGGGAGAAACTTGTGGCCACTTTTGGGGGATCCTTCTTTCATGCCCTGCTACCTCTGTTTTCGGGGCTGGATAGCTGTTCAATGCTGTTCAGCATTGAGGAACCCTCGGTCAGAATTGCCTAAACACAGCACCTGTGCGAACCTCTTGCACTTCCGCAGCAAACATCGTCTAGACCACGTTTATCTACGATCATACAGAAAACGAAAACGTCATGGATGCACGTCCTCAGGCACTATTGACATCTTCTCCAGCTCTTCCCGCAACTGGCCGACGATGTAAGAAATCTCGATCTTCTGCTTTTCCTCACAAGGCTGTCGAAACTAAGGGTCCCTTCTGTGCGCAGAGGGTGCATTCCAAAGCTGGATCTGAACAGCTCAGGATGGCTGAATTTCAATCTGTCATGAATTCTGCAATCCAGCCACGGTGGCGGCTACTGCTCCAATGACATCGACCAAAACACCCAGCAGCATGTACATGATAGTCACGGAGACCTCGCTTCACAGGACATGGAGCAGGTTGAACTGAAGACACCAATTGGTCGCCACCCTTTGTTCGGTAACGTTTGTTCCGTTTCCTGATTTGTTCTTCTTGTTGCTGAACTCTGTAGGCTCACCTTGGTAGCTTAACCTTCCTGCAAGGTAATTGCACCATTTTCCACGCGACCATGTTGTTGAAGCATGGGTAGTCATAATGAGAACGATATCAGCAAGATCTACCAGAGTAACCTCGCTTTCTGCCATTTTCTGATGTACGGTAGAAATACAAACAATGTTGATAATCGCACGCAGAACAACCATGGCAAATTAAACATGGCGTAAACGTAGTAGACACGATGCGAACAGTAAGTGGCAAGAAGGAAAATACATCGCACCATCATGAAAGCGGGGGGCTAACATTCATGAAGACGATCAGCTTGGGATGCCTCAAAATACAACCTGGGAGGATCCCCAAGACCAGAATACGAATAATATTTCGGAGGGGCATCCCAAAACAGATTTAGGGTCAGGGTCCCCAGGACCAGATTTTTCCGTCGTCGGACGTAGTACAGGAATAGCACTACTCGTCATTAAATGCAGAAGACAAGCTTATGAACGCATATATGGCAAGATCACAGCAACCCAGCCAAGACTAAATTTAAGCATTGCAGGCAGCCAAACTTCGCTGAGGCACCAATGCCATGAAGAAAACGATGAGAGGCCACAGTCCGGGATTTCCATTTGTGATCCTCGGTAATGCTGACTTTTTGCTACTGCTCCTCTGCCTCTTTGAATGCGTGGAGAAAAATGGTCTTTGACCGTCATGTGGCTTGAACACGTCTCGCTGAAAATTCAGAAAGGCGTCTGATTGATAATGTCAGCATTGGCCCCAAACACGGCAGGCAGCAGCAGAGTGTTCAAGGACTCTGGCACAGATTGGAAAAGAGTTGTTCCCACTGTGCTCCCTTCTGTGAGCTGCTTGAAAAGGATGGCAAAAGCATAGGTGATGATTGCCTGGAATGAACACAGATGTAAGCCACTACCTGCCGCATGACTTGTTGCAATGCCAGAGCAGGCAAGGTGCCCAAAGCAGGGAGAACACCTTGAATCGCACAAACGCATCACAACCTATGGGCTTGGTAGTCGCTGTTACCCTGCTAGTCCGGCCGGCTCCCATATGCTGAGCAATGAATTCAGCAACAAAGCTAGATCGAAGTAAGCAACTATAAAGGCTAAGGGCCAAGGCGCGCAAACCGATCTCGCAGCAAATGCCAAGCCTTTTACAATAATCATGAGCTCGGGAAAGGAGCGTAGCAGTCGGGTAAGCCGTGTCAGCCGGACCAACCTGCCCACTGCAGCAGCCGAAGCCAATTGCTTGCATTCAGGATTCTGTGTACATGTATGCAACCCAGCCTGACCAGCCGGATTAGACGCAATAACGAGGACCCCTCCGGCAGGGTGCTCGATCCGCCAGCCATCAATAGCACCAGGGGGGTAATCCATGTCTCGACCTGACAACTACATATGTGACAGTGCAACAGCATGCTACTGCATTGCAGTCGTCCCAATCAACAGGGTACTGTAGCTGAGCGACTATGATGAGAATTGCCAGCGCAAAATCGAAGTTAAACCTCACGTTGCCCCAGCTTCATAGGCTCTGTGACAGCAGAAGCTCTGAAGGAGCAAATCTGGACGGGGAGCCAGAAATCTTTGAAAGCCTGGTACTTCCTCTGGAAGGCAAGGAAGCGTATGGTGATCTCCACGGTGAAATACAAGCAAAAGAAGTTCTCCTAGCATTTGCGGAGTTGCACTTTTAGCCTTGTGGTGTCGCATGTAGTCTGAGCACTCTGAACCAGGGATAGGATTGATTCATATAGATTCACATGGCAGCTTGGCAGAAGCTTGATAGACACAACTGACTGCAAGACAAGAGACAGCAACAATGAACGCCTTAGTTGCTTCGCACAGCAAAGACAGCACGGAGGCAAAGCCTCGAACCCAAATGAAGGAGCGATCTGTCGTAGCTTTTGCCACAAGGCACAGGATGTGCATCCCAAAGGACTGTCTCAGGATTCAGATCCGCATCCTGGTCGTCACCATCGGAAGCAAGGTTCAAACATCCCATAACAGACCTATGCCGCCAAAGGCTACAAATTGGACAGTAATCAAATCTGAAGTTCGACGCCGAGCCAAATGGAGTTCAACATGACGATGAAAATCCTTGGCTGCTAGGTGTCATCCCTGCCTTAAGTGCAGCGACCAAATTTCGATTGCCGCTTTGCGGCGTCAAATTGTCAAAGAAAGGATGTCTCGCAACGCGCTGCGCGCAGCCATCGTCTCGGTAGTAATCTTGCACATTGTACCTCCAGCATCTTGGCATGTGCTAGAACAAGCATTGATCACCAACACACCCAAACACCTTTACCCACTCGAGCGATTTGGGTGCTTCGAATGTTTGGTTACGCTTTGAGCGCGCTCTAGGTCGCAAGCCATGTCTGCCTTCAAGCGCAGCTTGGGTGCTGCCTTTTCATAGCTGCAGCAGTAGCCTTCTCTTTCAGCTTGTCCTGAGGCCGAATGTGTGCAGACAGCTACCTTGTGCAGCCAGCCATGCTGTGTCCATGATAGCGGAGGCTTGTGGGTCGACAAGAAGAAAATCAAAGAAGAACAGGTTACATATGTCCGGCGAGGCAAACCTTCCAAGACGATTCATCTGTGAAGCTGACCCCACCACCAAAAAGCTCCAAGACCCTCCATGTGTGCAGGCTCCTGCAGGGCCTGCCAACCGACATGCTGAGAGTCTGGTACATAAGGGCTTTGTAAGTGCTGCTTCCCCAGGTTGCTCTCTGCTGTGGCTCAGGTGGCCCCAAATGAATTCGGTGACCTGCTGTCTCTGATCAGAAGCGCGAGCACGCTAGAAACGTAAGAAAGGCTCCATCGGGGTCAGGTTCGCGGCGCGCGCAGACTGCTGCTTGACTGATTCCTGCCAGAAGGTGGTTGTTTGATGCAAGCTGCTGCACTTGTTGCGCATGAGGCCTCTTTGGTAGTGACTGACTTTTTCTTCTTTTTCTTCTCCCTGAGCTTTTCCAGGGAGATTTCCGCCCAAGAAGCATCCTCGGTTCATGGTATTTGCATTTACCTTACACGTATCAATTACAAGCAAGGCCGGACGACGGTGACACAGGCATCCAGCAATAACACGCAGAGTCGTCGTCAGCAGCGGGGGCGGCAGGAGCAGCGGCGGCAGGAGCAGCAGCGGCAGGAGCAGCAATGGCAGGAGCGCCGCAGCTTCAGCAGCAGCAGCAGGCAGCAGCAGCGGGCCACGGCGGCGACGGCGGCGGTAAAGTTGCTGTCCGAGCTTCTGTTTGCACGCCACAGTTGGCAAAGAAGTTCTCCTTGTGTGGGCTACGCATCACTTGCTCCCATTGAGTGAGCGAAAAGCGCAACTTCTCAAGTAAAGCAAAAGCAGGTAAACAAAAACAAGAAACAAAAAGGCATTCAGCCAGGAGGAAAGCAGTTGGCTGATCCCGCTGTGAAGTCTAAGCCTAGCAGTTGCTGATGCTCCCCCTTTTTAACGAGGGTTGTGGTGTTATGCTTGTGTTCTGCCCTCCTTTGCTGGGATCTGCTGATGCATCAAACTTGACATCGAAGCTTAATCCCGCGCGAAGGATTCAGGTTCTCCAGTACCAAACGTAAACCACACCAGCTTGGGTCAAGTCGCTGCCTGGATTCCGATATCTCTGTACCTTTTCCTTGGGCCCCGAGAGCAAAGTGAGAACGTTTACAATTCGCTAGCAAGTCATGCAGCGAGCCAAGTGTGTCGACACTGCATGAGCCGTCAACCTCTGCCCTTTGGCAATTCAAAAGTAACCAGCGTCTGCTCTGCAGAGATCATCAGGACTTCTGCAGGATCGTCAACAGTCTCCTCTCCCTCTTGTGCCTGACGCAACCGCCCTACAATTGCAGGAAGCTGATCGGCGTGGGAAGGAGGGCAGGGACTTGCTCGTACTGCTGCTGTGAAGCAAAAACAAGCCGCATTGAATCCAAGCAGCTGTTGCCGTCACAGTGGATGCCGCGCGGCTGCGAGCTCCATTGCCAGTTGTGCGAAGGGATTTGCCTCAATTTCTATTTGACAGGAGTGGCAGGATGTGCATAATTGCCGTGAACAGCGAATCTAGCAACTAAAATTGCTATGCTTTGTGTCAATGTTATTATCTTTGCAGCCAAAAGGCGTGACGACTCCTGTCAGTCAGGAGCCAACGGACAAGGGGCCGGGGTGGGTAAGGTAGCCCGCCAGTCTGCCGTGCTGACTGTAAGGCCCTGCCATGAATTCCTGAAGTGCTGCCCAAGCACTGTCAGAAGACTCTCGTGTCCCTTGGGTGAGCCTTGGCGAGAAGCAGCATGCACAAGTCGACACTCAAAAGCAAGCGCATGTGGCTTTGGGTGGGCAGAGCCACTGCGATGCAACTGACTTCAAGCAGCTGCCTTTTTAGACTGAATGAAGTTACTGTAAGGAAGCGACGGCATGCGATTGTCCACCGTTAGTGCTTTCTTGGTCAAGAGCTACATATCGCAATGGCGCTCTACATGGGGCCCCAACTGGATGGCAGATTGTTGGACGAGAAGCCTCTCACAAGTTGCAGCTGTACTTCTGCTGATTTCAGCAACGTGTCAACGAAGCAGCTGCTGCCCCGGCCTGATACCAACTGTACGGCCATGGCTGTCGCTTTCCCATCCGAGCTTGTTGGATCGTCTCCTAGGATGCTCCACTGCCAAAAGCTGAGTTGTTGCTGGCCTGACCCAACACGCCAGGGCCATCCATCCAGTCCATATCAAAAGCAGATCAGGCATATCACCCATGTCCTGTGCAAGCTAGTCTCGGGGCGAGCTTGGTTCCGGTCGCGACTCGCTTGCGCTAGGTTTTCTTGTTCCCACCCGCGACCTTGTCGTGGATGGAGGCCTGCTCAAATTGGTCGGTGGCTTACGGGGCACACGGTTGAGTGGAAGCCAAAGTCCACTACTGACTACTGCATCCCACAGGTTTAAAAATGACTCCGTGAGTTGCATCATTGTCGTATCTGGCCACTAAACCCTAAACCCTCTACTTAAAGCTTGCTCATCATGACCATTCGGCCAGGGCTCAGGTAATCCACCTGCAGCGCCTTTTGGACCCTTGTGATCTCCGACAACACCATCTTGGTATCTTCAGTCACCCTCTTCCTTGGCACACCGCCACAGATTGAAGCGATTGAAGGGTATTGAGGGTGCTGCAAGAAGAAGCTGCGACAGAAAGGGCCAAGCTTCCGTAGTCGCGCAACGTCGTTGGTCAAGCCGCCCACCGTTTCCGTCTGGCTGATGAGTGTAAGCATGTGCCTTACACTTTGCAAAACGCCCCACTCGGGATGAGCTTGTGAAACCAAAGAATATGCGAATACATTGTGCGATCATGTCCACTCAAAGGTTTTAGGAGTACTAGGCTCGCATTTCATCAAGACTGCGCAAAATATTGCACGTACCAGTCCTATCCGTTCCTACTGCTGCATTGCGATTTTCACAAGTTGACTGCAGAAACATGTCGGGACTCGGCCAGAATTACTGTTCGCAAAATTGCGGAAATTGATATAGAGACCCCGTTTTTTCATACGACCCTCGCTAGAAGGATCCGTATTACAATGAATTTGAAGGAACTCCCTGTATTGTTCCCAGCCCTAACAAGCGGCTTCACGCCCAGGTGCTTGCAAATTTGCTGAAGCCCTTAACTTACACAGCGGTTATGTAGGAATATTATTCCAATAATGGAGAATCAGCTCGAAAAGACAATGGACAATAAAACCGGAAAAATGGGACTACATTGGGGATTCTTGGGGCAAATGCACAGAATGAGCCGTGGTAACCTGGTAACGCCTATTATGCATAAAGCTTCTTGCAGGTGAAAGCCGCACATTCTGGTTCTCGACCTTGGTATCCAGATTCAGGCTGAGATCAGCATAGTGCTTGTCGTCCTGCTGCTGCATCCGGAAGATTTCAGAGGTCATCCTGGCCGTGACGCCGCTCGTGTAGCCGGTTTTGTTGAATCAGCAGGCTCGGCCACACCGTACACTCTTAGACCATCACAGCTGAGATGCTTTTCTGCGGTTGACTTCAAGGAAGTCTGCCTTGGCGTACGTAGCGAACAAAGGCCAGTCTCCAAGTGCAAACAAAAGGAAAATTTGAACCGCAAACCCGGCCGGGCGTCCCGACACCCCAAACCTCAACCCCACACTCTAAAGGGAGTAGAGGAAGGGAGGGCTGCCTGTTTATCTAGAAGCATCCTTTGCAACGTTGGCATAGGCCTGGCTGGGTGTCCGGCGAATCCATTATGGAGTGGATGTTCGTGCTGCAGTGCGTGGTTAGGTCCTCAAGCTGCCTCAAAGAAGCAATTGCTGATCACTGCTCGCACTGTTGCAGAAGCTACCTTTGTGAATGACGTAGAGGGAAGCAAGGCCCGCACCATAGCAACGTCAGCTTTGCTCCAACATGAGCTTCTTAGCAAAATGGAGTGCGGTGCCAAGTTGCTGAAGTCCTGCTCCAAGCTGAGTGGAGGATATCCTGATAACATTCTCGAACCCTTTGCATCTTAACGGCTCGCTCAATCATAAAAGCTTATGCAAATCATCCAGGGAAGATCTTGACAGCACAACTTCAGCTGACTTCATGCTATCCTCTTCCCAACATCCATGAGAGCCTGCCAGCTTTGGCTTTTGCAGGTTTTGGGGGGCATTCTGTCCCACTTCTTGACTTGACCCTTTTCGTTCCTAGCCTTGTGTCGACAGCCTGATGACGGCTTGTGCTGATCAGCAGCAATGCATGCTCTTGTGCTTGTAAAGAAGGTGAAGAGGGTGGTGCTGGCGGCAGGGGCGGCGATGCCCGCCCGGCATCGGCGTTGTAATGGTGGATGACCAGCTGTACTCCCAGCACAGTTTCCAATGATTCAACCTAATGAAGTGTGACCCCACCCGACGTCGGCCGAGCAAGGCGTTCCTACAAACGAAGCTTCCAACGGCCCGCCCAGTTGCAACAGTCAAAGAAATCGTCAACCCCAAATCTGGGAGCCACCAAAGCGTTGTTAACCACCAGCCCTCCGCAGCCCTCATCATGAATCGTATGATGAAACACGCCCTCGTGCTCCTGATGTGCTCTTCGAACTCCTGCCGAGTATGCGCCAGCTGCTGTAGCAAGCGGCTTTCAAAGCCAGTCATGTTCTGCATGCCGTGCCGCTGAACCTGAAACTGCCCATCAGTAGCATCTGCTGCCCTCCCACACAGACTCTTCATGCCGGTTGCTTCAAAATCCAGGTTATACTGCAAGCCGGCAACTGTTTGAGATTCACGCTCCACTTGCGTGGAGATGCCCGTGACAATCTCCTAGCAGCAGGACACAATTCGTCAAGACTGGAACGAGCTGCGGCCTCCCAGCCTTGATTCTGCTGACCTCTGTCCGGAGGTCGCCAGTCTCACGGCTAAGGTTAGCTTCTAAGCCTTGGATATGAGATAGAGAAAATTGACCTTGCTTGGTTGCGAAGCTGGAACGCGGTGACAACTCTTCAAACTCCAGTCCAAGCAGCGCTTCATTCCCTGTTCTATGCGGGTAACGGTGTCCAGTGTGAGCTCCCTGGAGGATTGCATGTGGTCACCAAGCTGGGCATTCACCTGCATTGCAACGCGGGCAAGCCTGACAGACTGGTGCTGCCTGACTTTTCATCAGCTCTTTGAGAATCCCGTCCTGCATTTGCAGGTCAAGCCTTTGGCCCAACTCCCAATTCGAGTGTGTCAGCAGCTCGCGCATCTTGCCGAGGGCGTCCTCAAGCAACACGGTCCAAAATGCATGCGAGCGCTCACGCGAAAACATACACGCTGGACAACTCTTTGCCAAAGGGCCTTCTCTGCGTGCTGCCTTGACTGTGCAGATGGCAAACCAGAAAATCAAAGGGGCAGAATTAGAAGTTGAGATGGTACAAGCATTGTCCCACGTTTTTGTTTCTGTCCTTGCTACTGTACAAGTTTGCACGATAAACGCCAAAGCTTGACACTAACAACCCTCGGCGATCTTTTGATCAGTACTCGTAAGCGTTGCTTCTAGAAATTCGAGGTCAAGCTACCGTGAATCAGTGCCATCGCCAAACACCACCAGAACAACATGCTCACTGCTGGCGCGATGCAGATTATCTGCCACGAGAAGCAGTTTGGCCGCAATGGGATTCCGTGTGGCACTGGCGCTCTGGGCTTCACCCTTGAGGAGCCCGACCGCCTGCAGCTAGCTCGTGCCTACAGGAGGTTTCCGAGGAGCTGAACTAGCGCCTGTTGGACCTCAGCACGCATGTCCCCGACGAGCACAGCAACAGCTTGCTTGCAAAGCCTCGGCCCCAAGCAAACTCCAGTAATCCGCAACAAACTCTTAGGGTGGCATGGCTATAAAGCTACCTGTGTTTCCTTTACAATCAGAATGATCAGAGCATCAGTGGGCCGGCAAGTGGAGCACCTACGCACTTCACTTGTGTGCGACGTGGCCACTTACATGCTAGATCATTTGCCAAGCGATCGCACGTATGCAGCAAGTTCATTGTAATTGCAGCAGTGAGGAGCTCCAAACCATCCAAGCTCTGCCCAGTGGATGCTTTCTTGGGAAGCACATTCTCCTAGGTTTGGCTGCGCATGACACGAAAGGACGCACTCACCGTAGTTGCGCTTGCCTCGATCTGACAAGTTTCGGGCAAAGATGGCAGCATTGTTCGTTGAGTTTTTGGAGCTGCGTTATTCGCCATGGCCACGCAACTCAACGTCACATTCCTAAATCCACGAGCCAAACGACTGTGCAATCATCGCCTGCCAACTCATTGCCCTCATTGTTTGAAAATGTGGTGCAAGCACGCCAAAGGTTGCGTTTCCGCTATGCCCTTTTTTCTTGCTCGACTAATCACTAATCAATCTGCCCATGAATCCTCCTTGCAGAGGCAAGCCAGGCGTTTGCAGTCGTAGTTGTATAAGCCCTCACATTTGTCCCGCGTATCCAGGGTAACCTGGATATGCTGCAGGATATGCTGCAGGATAACCTGGGGCAACGGCACCTTGGCGGGAACATGTGGCAACCCACTCCTTTGGCTCCTTTGGTGTGAGTCTTGGCCCTGCCTGGCCAGCCTTGTACTGGAGGCCTCAGCTGCATCTGTGAAGCCGAGAATATCTAAGAATGGAGAAGCACGGCGCAAATGGAGATCCGGACTGCATGCCGGGATTCCGCATGGTCATCTCGACCCTGAGCTGTTACCACTGCCATCTTGACCGCATATTCTGGAGATATGAAAATATCCTGAACTGCCGCTGACATTGCCTACTTTGAGCATCTCATCCCAGCATTCGACCAATGCAATCCTACATCCCGCGTACCTTTGGCCACGATGAACTCCGTGGTTCTGCACTGCATTGCATGAGGAATGTGCGCAGCAAGGACAGGGTGAACGCTCTTTGCGGATCTCTGCAGTTGTCAGTTGGGTACTGTAGTGGTACGTCTGCCTCGTTTCTGGCACTGTACAAGTAGGAATTGAAGGAAAACAACACTTTGCAAGTCTCGCTGCTCAATTGGCTCTGAATGCTCTGATCTGAGTTCGAAGCGCTGCATCGGCAGAGCGAAGCTCATGAGGCCGCTCAGAGCGAAGGAACGCTGCACCGTACATCCTGGGCACACA